GGAAAAAAATTTATCAATTCCACACCTAATGCATTTTTCACTCAATAAATTTTTAACTGATGGAAAATTAAATTTAACCTTTAGAGGGCCGGTAAATTTGCACCCTCTAAAGGTTAATAAAATTTTGCATAACTCGTTAAAGTAAATGTTTAATACAACAATTAATATATTAAAGGTGGAAGAAGTTAACAATCTCTCCGAATCAATTAATTAACAATTAATATAATTATTGTATTAATTACACTGAAAAAAATTTTCTACATTCAGTAGACATAAAAATTATGTTAGCAATTTTTTCTTTTTCTAATAGAAACATTTAGTAAAAATAAAAATGATTCTTGAATTTAGAATTATTATTATTATTATTATTTTCATAATTTTTTTTTCTTTATGAATTTTTAGTCACGTTTGCGGTAAGCAATTAAAGTTATGAGTTAAGCCAAGACCCAATTTGCAAAATTAGCGGCTCTTCGATTCGCACGAAGGCACCTGCAAGTTTTACGGAAGTTAATGTTTCTCGACCACGAAACATTCAACGACTATTGTTGCCTCCCTTCCTATTTTTCTCGTTACCCCTTTAAGCAGTTCTCTGACCTACGTTACTGTTATTCTGCTTCATTTTTTACGACCAGTAATGAATAAGCTATATTGCGACTTCCTAAAAAGGCATCAAACTTTAATTTTCCTTTCTTCTCTCTATTTTCCTAAAAATACATTCATTGTCCTCAAAATGTGATGCCTCTTTACCAAGAAACTAACGTGAATAAATTTTTTTTTTCCTTTTGTTCTCTCTTCTTCTAGAAATGAATAATTAAATTTGCTTCCAAGGGGGGAAAATATTTAAATTCAAAGATATTTACAATAAAAAATGTACTGCAATTTAAATTTTTTTCCATTTGGATTTTTTTTCAAAATGAAAAAAATTTTGAACTCAAATTCACACTCGCTTGACTTCAATTTTGTCAGAAGAATAAAAAATATTCAATACACGAAATAATAATACAAAATTTCCCACTTTATACTTTTCAATTAGACGGGAAGAATTTACATAGAAAAAAGTTGCAATAAAAACTCAAGAGTCGATGATGAAATTGAATAAAAATTTTCTGCATCGAAATTGACAATGAAAAAAATTTGATCTTTAAGGTAAACTGAAATCTCCGTTAGTCATCATTTCAACTATAGTAACGGAATCAGTAAATCGTCTTTCTCGTTTTCATCGCAAGTGGAACGATAAAAGAGACGACTAAATAAAATAAAAAAAAAAACAATCGACTAGTTCCTCGGCTTAAAAAAAACAGCAATAATCTAGAATTTTTTTTTTGTTCAAACTCACCACAAATGTTCGTTGTTAGTGTGTCAAAGTCATTTTTAACAAGAATTTTTTCTTTCATTGCTTACCTGAAACAAAAATAAAAATCGAAAATTAGTACAAAAATAATGTAATACAAATAATACTTTTCGTTAAATTTAGGCTTTTTTTTATTTGTTATTTTTAAGGCTATTTCTGAGGCTAAATTTAGTCTACTTTTTTAGGGTCATTTTTAGGCTAAATACCATTGGGACGAACTTTTGAAAGAAAGATTAATTAAGAAACTTAATATAATATTTGTAATATAATTACAATAATTTATGCAATTTATACCCTTCAAAAATTCAACATAAATTTGTATTAATGATTCTTTTTTTTAATATTCCTACATAATTTTATAAAATTTATTTATTGTAATATATTATAATTTTATTTATTATACTTTCATTGTAATGAAAATATTCAGGGTGACTACTATTTATGTTCAACAAAATTCACGGTTTTGTTCTAATTTTTCCCGGTTTTTTAATAATTTTAATTAAAAATTTGGAAAATAATTGAATTAAACAAAGAATTTTTCAACCTTTTAAAATAATCTTGTCCGTTCATAATTATAATTAAAACTTTGAGTAATTCAATTTTATTGAAATGTATTGATACTAATTGAATTTCTGCAAAGAATTTTTCTATTTATAAAAGTAATTGAATCCTTTCAAAGAATGTTATTATTTATGAAAATAATTAAATGTTTGTGTAGAATTTTATTAAAATTTTTGAAAATAATTGTATTCTGGAGAACAATAATTGAATTATTTATAAAGATAATTGAAATTTTGAGGAGAATTTAAAAAAATTTTTAACCAACATAATTGAATTTCTGCGACAAATTTTATTACTTTTGAAAATAATTGAATTGTTTTTTAGAATTTTATGAAAATTTATGAAAATAATTGAATTCTTGTGAAGAATTTTTTTAAAAATAATATTCACAAGAATTTAGTAAATCTGAAGAATTTTGTTTTTTATATAAATAATTGAATTCTTGAGAAGAATTTTTTTACAGTTTCTAGAAAGAATTGAATTCTTTCGACGAATTTTAATAAAATTTTTAAGAATATAAAATGTAATTACATTTTTCGAGGAATTCGATTAAAATTGTATTAAAAATAATTGAAATTCTGCAATGAGTTTTGCTATTTATGAAAATAATTGAATATATTGCGAAGAAATTTTTAAAAATAAAATAATTACGATGACTAACTTCCCTTGATGATTATCGAAAAATTTAAATAAAATTCTTTAAAAGAATTTAAATATTTTTAATAGAATGTAAAAAAAAACTTCAATTACTTTAAAAATTTTTAATTATTTGTTTATAAAAATTCAATTATCTTGGAACAACAAAATTGAAAAATTTCAAAAATCTTATTTTTCAAAATTTTCAAAAAAATTTTGCGAAAATTCAATTTTATTAAAAAATTTAAAGTGTGTATTTTTTTTAATAATAATAAGAAGATAAGAAGATAAGAAGAAGGAGAAGAAAAAGAAAAAGAAGAAGTAGAAGTAGAATAATAATAATAATAATAATAATAATAATAATAATAATTTTTAAAAAAAGTATATAAAAGATTTTCCAATAGACTTATAAATATTACAATGACGAGCTTAATAGTATAATTTCCATTACACTGACACTTAATCCAAGACGGATTCTCTTCCTGATAGTATAAAAGCAAATAAATATCTATAGAGTGAGTAGTCATTCGATTACCGTTCCATTCAATGAACGCGACGCGACATAAAGAAGTGTACATCCTGTCCAGGTATAAATATATTCGTATCTGTATCAAAAGTTGCATTATTTCCGTAAGACAAAAAAAGAGAAAAAAAAATGAAAGGAAAAAGTATTTCAAGGCCCGCAACCATATCGTTGTCGTCTACACGTGTAATACGTATATTTATTACTATCCGTTCAAATCTTATAATTCATGTAAATGTATCTCCATCTAGTGTAATTTAAAAATAGAAATAGATTCATTTCTATCTCATAAATTATTTTCACCGTCCCGCTCGCGTGATACATTTTTTTTTCTTTCATTTTAAAGAATCATATACGAGAGAGATTTAGATTCTCGCTCGCATATTTCGTGTGAAAAAAGAAGGAAAAGAAGAGAAAAAAGAAAAGAAGAAACTGAAATTCAAGTAAATGCGGAAAGAATATTTTTCTATTTAAATTTACATAAATTTTTCTATAAGAAATATTTTGCATAGCTTTTAATCAATAATTTTTTAATAAAAAATATTTGTAATCAAAAAATTTTATTCTTTTAGTCAGGAAAAATATTTTTTTCTCTCATTGATCATAAACGATAATTCATTCCATTTAAAAAAAAAATTGTAAAAATACCAATAAAATATTTGTTTTAAACTTGAAAAAAATTCCAATTCAAGAATAAAGAAACATAAATTATAATCTTCACATTGGAATTTTATGGGGAAAATATTTTAATGACATCGTATGAATTTCAAGAAATATTATAAAAACAAACAGAAACAAAAAAAGTTGCAAATTTCAAATAAATCTTGCTATCACAAGGATTTCCCCACAAATTTTCTTTTATTACATTACTCTACTGTATATAATCGCCCCGCTGTGAGATTGATTGCAAATCTACACTCTCGCATCAGAAAAAATATTAAGCACATATATATATATATATATATATATATATATATATATATATATATATATATATATATATATATATATATATAATATAATACCCGATATGCGAGAACACTTCACCTGATTTGCTTTCTATTTTCTTGAACTATTATATTTACAGTGTACAATATAAAAAAATTCACAGATCAGTAAAGATCGTGATCTCTTTCGAAAAATGATACTCTCATCGGAGATGCGACAATAAACAAAAAGAAAACAAGTGAAAATTGACAATTGGAAATTAAACATTTGTCAAAAAAAAAAAAAAATAGTCCAAAAAAATTAATTTAAAAAATAATTTATAAAATAATTATAAAAAAATAATGAAAAAAATAATTTATAAAAAATGATTACAAAGAAATTAATTTAAAAAAATGATTGCAAGAAATTAATTTCAAAAAATAATTACAAAGAAATACTTTTCAAAAAATTAATTACAAAAAATTTAGTTTTAATTTTAAACATACAAAAAAATAAAATTTCAAAAAAAAAATTACAAAAAATCCATTTCATAAAATATAAAAAAAAATAAATTTCAGAGAGTTAATTTCAAAAAATCGTACTTTCGTCAATTTTTGGTGAAGGGAAGAAATCTTTCCGAGTATTTTAGGATCAATTTTTCATGAATATTTCTTTGATAATGTAACATGAGAACAAATTTTTTTTCGAGTTTTCAGACGTGCATTAAGAGAGAAATGAAACCAACATTACGTAATAAAGCCAATAGGGAGTTATCATCAAAAAATTTTTTTTATTTAATTGATAGATTAGGTTAGATTTATATAACAAAATTTTTTTCCCAGAATTTTTTAGTGACAAATAAGCACAAAATTAAATAATAATATTTTACATAACTTTCAAATACCGAAAACGATCCGGAAAGACCCGAGTTCTTCCGAAGGGCATTGTGACGTCATAGTCGTATGTGCAGAACACTGCTGTTGTGAGTTTTATATGTAAAATTGTAAAACAAAATTGTATTGTTCCGAAACTTATACAAAATGCAGGAAAGCAAAAAATATAAAACGTGTTTTGTGCCTCAGTGTATAAGTACAACATTCAAAACACCAGAAAAGTTATTTTTTTTTGTGCCTCAAACTGAAAACGTCAGGAAACATTGGTTTCAAATTGCGAGACGAAATGATACACCATCAATAAAATCAAAATTTTACTGTTGTCAAGATCATTTTAATGTAAGTATTTTCAATGTAAAATTTTTCAATTTTATTTTTTAAGGTGTAAGCAAAAATTTCGTTCATTAATGTGTAATGCAAGTGAAAAGTACTCAACATAACCTTAAAATTCAGAATAATAAAAACTGAAAACTTTAAAGATGTATTATAATTGGTATTTATATTTTTTAACTTTGGATTCATTTTAGCTAAAGGAGGATATGGACAATTATGTAAGATTTTGTTTAATGGGAGCTCCTAAAAAATTGAAACAGGGTATAACACCGCACAAATTCGACTGTCAACCTAATCGAGTAAAAACTTGGATACAATCATCTCGTTCTGCTTTAGAAAAGCTAACCAGGAAAAGAGAAATTTCTGAGATATTGTCCAGCTCGGAAAAGGAAAATTTAAAATTGAGTAGCGAGGAACAAATATTAAACAAACGAAGAAAAACAAACACAATTTTAGCAGATTTAAGTAATTGCGTAAGTTTACAAGTGTGCTACCTAATTTTTGATTTAGAAGTAAAATTTTGCTGGCTTTGAATTGTACAACATTTTTGCACTTTTTCCTTATTTTTTTTAATAAAATTATTCTACATAAAATTAAAAAAAATATATTTTTATGGATTATTCTTAGTAAAAAATAAAAGTTGACTTAATATTTTATAAAAATTAACTAATACATGGTGGCCACTAAAATCAGTCGAAAAAATTCCCTGACTTTTCCCTGACTCTTTTCTGATTTTCCCTGACCTTTTTTTCTTGAATTTTCTCCCTAAAAATCGGAGAATTTTTATTTTTTTTAAATTTCCCTGACCAATGAAAAAATTCCCTGACTTTTCCCTGACTAATTATAAAATTTCTTGACTTTTCCCTGACTTCCAGGTTTTCCCTGACCCGTGGCCACCATGTAATATTTTACTCAATTATAATTCTAAATAAATTAATATTTTAGTTAAATTATTTTATTAAGAATGGAATAATTGATTTTTTTCGCAAATTTTTGAACAATAAAATACATCTGACTTTTTATGAGCTTTAAAATTGATCCCAGGCTTGATTTAAAATTTAAATTATAATAATGTTTTATGTGATTTATAGAATGATTTGCCATCTCAACCGATCAAGGACTTTCTACAGGATTCTTCTCATGTTGAAATAAAAACACAACAGAAACTTATGGAACCTTATCAGCCCGAAGATTCGACATCTCCGTCAGTTCAGAATTTTTCAAAACAGTCTCGCGATTTTGGAGTTCAAGTTCAGCAAAATCTTGTGAAACCCCATGTTCGAAGCAAATCAATTTTATGCAAGCCTGAAAATAATAGTATATCTATTATGTGCAAACCAGATGTTGCTGATGCAACTGTACAGTGTGATTTAATTACTGGAAATAAAGTAAAAATACAAACTCAAGATTTTTCTGACAATACGAGTTCAGGTTTGCTATCTTGTTCAACGAATCCATTGAGTACAAATCCATCGAGTGGATATAAACTTCCATCTTCTCTCAGTGCAACTCAAACCTCTTCCGTTTGCAGCGATGATAAGAAACAAAAAAACAAAGTCATGAAAGAAACGGCTTTAAAAGTAACTAAATATTTTATTAGTATGGATTCGAAAAAATATACTGGTATTACTAATGACTGGATGTGGATTGTTAATTTATTAGAATCTACGACTGGATGTCCGAGTGATAATATTCTTTTAACTTTAATGAAAATTAAAACAAATGACACATTCAGCAGATTGGGCGATCGTTTTGGATTGTTAACTTCTCAAACGAGTAAAATTTTTCGAAAAACTGTTAAACCCTTAGCTCATTATTTGAAAACTCTTGTCTTCTGTCCGAATCCCACTCTGATTAAAAAGAATTTACCTATCCCATTTCGTGCGTCTTATAATCAGGTTTGCATAATAGTTGATGCCTTTGAAATCGAAATCGAAAAGCCATCTGATCCAATACAGCAATCTTTAACTTGGTCAGATTACAAAAAGTGCAACACTTTAAAATATTTGATAGGATGCACTCCAGATGGATTTGTTTCCTTCATGTCTCCTGGCTACGGAGGTCGTACGAGCGACATTGAAATTTTCAAAGAAAGTGGAATAATGGACATTATTCCTGAAAAATGTGGTGTAATGGCAGACAGGGGATTCAAGCAGATTCAAACTATTTTGAATACAAAGAAATGTAAATTAGTGCGTCCTCCTTCTGTTTCTGCTTCCGTCAAATCGTCAAAAAGTGATGTACTGAAAACGAAGAGTGTGGCAAGTTTACGAATTCACGTCGAAAGAGTGATACGGAGAGTTCGAGAGTATAAAATGTTATCACCACATGCATGTCTGGATTGGAATTTAATACCGTACGTCGACGACATTTCAAAAACTGCAGCAGGTTTAATTAATTTTCAAAAACCAATTATAAAAAAATGAGTGTAAAACCCTTGTAAATATTTGTATTTAAATTCAGAAATGGAAAAATCGACATAATTTTAAATGTAAGTTTTATGAAATATTAATACAAACTTCCATTTTTATAATTTTATTTAAAAAAATTTATACAACTTAAACAATAAATTATCTTCAAAATATAAACGTTGCATGAAATTAATAAATTTCCTACAGATAAATTTTAATGTGCCATTGCATTTAGTAAGATAGGAAAGACATGATTCTTCCAAAAATTTTCCGCTTTTTTCATCAAGGCTCTAATGTATTTTTCCTCATATTCAATCCACATAAATTGGATTTGATTATTTTTTTCAAAATCCGGATCAGCCACACAAAACAATCCTTTTTTCTTCCCGGTACACATCATTTGCAAATTAATTTGTCCCCTGCATTTATCGCTTATTTTACCATCCGATATGTAATTTTTCACAGTTTTAGACGAACTAGGACACTTCACTTCTACGACAAAATCGTCCCCCATACCATCAGGTGAAGCTCCGAAAATAGGTCGTGATGGAAGAAGAAATAATCCAGTTTCAATAATATCTACATCTAGTTGTTTTTTTAATTCTGCGATAACTTGGTCTTCCAATTTTCTTCCACGTTCCATGTACATATTATCAAACGTTTTTGCAGCTCCTATAATCCGTTTGACCAATGAACCGTCCGGTGTTTTACATCTACTAGCTTCATAAATATTTGACGCTGTTATTCGTCCGAATCTTAATTCATGCCACAAAACATTGTTTTTTTGATCTCTTGTCTTATTTTCTGCCAGCATACACAAATTTTGTAACATTTTCTGCGTAGCATAATTAACAAAATCGTCAAAGGAATCCTCGTTATTCGAACAAAAATCAGATAGCAGTTGGTGAATCGACAATGAATGAACCTCTCGTTCTGTTAAAGTAATCGTGTATCGTGACAACTGACTGTCTACTTGTCGTGCTTCAGCTTCTGCAATAACTTTTTGCAAAAATGTCGAATTATCGCCAAAATCTTCAGCAGATGTCAAAGAATATTTTGCCATTTCACTGGCTGTTATAAATTTCATAGATGTTCCGACATTTGACAGCGTTGGTTTTTTCCAGTAACACTCGACGTCAGTGGGAGAAGCAGATTCAGATCTCCGATTACCCCACATTAAAAATGCAACACCATGTTTACATCCTCCTAAAATTATGAATATTATTAATTCATTAAAAGTTGTTAAAATTATTTTTTCATTTAAATGTTTTTAAAAAATACTGTGATCCAGTCAGGAAAAAAATAAAATTTATTATGTAATTCATTTTCAATATTGCAAAGTAATATTTTAAAATAAATTTCAAACTTAAAAATGTAGAAAAAAATCGATTAATGGACATAACAGTTACGGAGAATTGAAAAAAAAACAGGTTAAAGTGTAGGAATTTATTTAAATTATTTAAGCAGGAAAATTATTAGATTTATTACCTTCTGATGCTGCACAATCTAAACATTTCAAAGTTTTTATTTTCTCCTCTTCTTCATCAACTTCCATTAATACTTGATAAGCTTTTTGACGAACGCGATGTTCAGGGCAAATTCTTCCTTTTACAGTACACAAATTATTCTGTCGTTTGACGCTGACATAACCTATAGCGGAATCGCCGTAACTTTCTCTGGCATTTCTGAAAGTCGTATTAAGATGTTTATTTTTTTATTTTAAAAAATTGTGCAAAATATTCTCATATACTTACACAGAAGCTTTTACACCTCGAACTTCGGGAGCATTGTACCTGTCATCAGTTACAAGGTACTCCCAAACCATAAAAATTGATATTTTCGGCAAATTCGACGAATCTGCTTTTTCAAATCCTGAGTCCAATTTACAAGGCATCTTACTTTCACTTATTTGTACAAATGTAATTACACACACGATAAATCAATTAAATTCACGTTGAAAAAGGAAATTCATTTCAGAAATATAATGGTTAACAGTAGTAAACGCAGCAGACGATGCGACCATGCGACAGTCGTGTACGACTATGACGTCACGGTCGACCAGCCAATAAAAATCGTTTTCTCCCAGCATGAATATTTTCAAATATTTGCAAATTTGAAATTAAATTTTTAATATGTAAACTTTTAAAAAAATTAAAACTCCTAACGCTAAAATATTTTAAATTACCTATATTTACAATTATATTAAAAAAAACCAAAAAAATTTTTTGATGATAACCCCCTATTAACACATGTCTGCAACGATCGTGTGAGTACTTCGAGTCGCGGAATGTTCAATTAACCTGTCGACTTTACTCATATACCGGGTGGATGAAGATTAAAAATTCGTCTAATTCTCTAAAGAATCGGTCATGCAAAATTCAAGAGAAAAAACTGCTAAATATTTATTACAGGGTTAGCACAAAAAATTAATTATGTTTTTTACTGACTTTCAGACAAAGTTTTGAATTTTTCCCTGATCCTAAAAAATATTATTATAAAACAAGAAAATATTAATCACTCCGAGTCGAAGACTCGGAGTAATTAATATCTTCTTGTTTTATAATAAATTAAATTTCCATAAAATTAAAAAAAAATTAAATTATTTACAAAAATTTCAATAAAATCCTTCTCATGAATTCAATTATTTCTACAAGTAATACATATTTTTTTCTCATGAAATCAATTATTTTAAAAAAATGTAATAAAATTCATTGTAAAAATTTAATTCAAATTAAATTAATTTTCAAAATATTTTTTGAAAGAATTCAATTACATTTCAAAATTATTAAAAATTCTTCGCTGAAATTCAAAAAAATTTCAAAATCTACAATTTTAATGAAAATTCTGAAAAGAATTCAATTAGGTATTTAAAAAAAATTTAATAAAATTCTTCAAAAATTCAATTATTTTCATAAATAATAAAATTTTTTCCAGGATTTCAATTATTTAAAAAAATGTAATAACAATTAGTTGCAATAATTTAATTATTCTCTTGAATAATAAAATTCTTCACAGGATTTCAATTATTTTTTAAACAATTTTAAGTAAATTCTTCCAAAAATGTAATTATTTTCAAAAATATTATTAAAATTCTTCAAAAGAATCCAATTATTAACTATTTTTAATCCTTTTTGCAAAAATTCCTTGAGAAGTTTCAAATCCATTTGTTTACAATTCAATTTTACAAAATTTCGATTATTCAGAAATTCTTCAATTAAATATTTAGAAAATAAAAACTTGAAATAATTTCAAAAAAAAAATTCAATTAAACTTTTTCAAAATTCAATTGTTTTTGAAAATTCATCCTATAATACTTTTAACATTCAATTATTATCTAAAAATTAAACGGAAATTCATTTTAAAACAATTTGTATTAGAAAATTTTACGAGAATTCAATTATTTAACTAAAAAAATTAATAATTTATTGAATAAATTAATATTTTTGAAAATTAAATCCTCATAAAGAATTTTATTAACAAATTTTTATAAATAATTGAATTTTTTCGACGAATTTCAATAAAATTTTCAAGAATACATTTCGCGAGGAATTCGATTAAAATTGTATTAAAAATAATTGAAATTCTATAATGAGTTTTATTATTCATGAAAATAATTGAATATCTGTAAGAAATTTTATTATTTATGCAAATAATTGAATTATTGCGAAAAAAATTATTAAAAAAATTGTAAATAGTTGAATTCTTGTGAAATTTTTATTATTTATAAAAATAATGTAATGTTTGCTTAAAATTTTATCAACACTTTTTTATAAATAATTGAATTTATTTTGAAAATTTTTATTAAATTAGTAGATATTGAAAATCATTGAATTGAGAAAAATTTTTGAAAATAATTGAAATTTTCCCAAGAATTGTATTAAAATTTTGTGAAAATAATAGAATTTTGCCAAGAATTTTATTAAAATTTTATGAAAAAGATTGAATTTTGAAGAAGAATTTTATTATTTTTAAAGATAATTTAAATGTTAACGAGAATTGTTTTTTTAATTTTTTAACATAATTGAATTTCTGCAAAGAATTTTATTACTTCTGAAAATAATTGAATTTCTGCAATCATTTGTAACTTCTCCAAAATTCAATTTTTTTCCAGTACTTTAACAAAAATTCTTAACTTTTCCACGATTTCCCTGACTAATTCTACTTTCCCTTACTTTTCCCTGAATTCCCCGATTTCCCTGACCTGTGGCAACACTGTATTAATAAAAATAGAACAAAAAAAAAATCTTAAAAATCGAACCACTGGAAATTTGCACCAACGATTAATAAATAATATTTATTTTCAATTTAAAGCTAATTTCACAGTTTTCTTTAATTTTTTTCTAAAGTTTATTTAGTATTCAATGTACGAATAGGCACTGTCCGTAAAATGTTATAAATATAATAAATAAATATAATAAGAAATATAATGAATAAATAAAGAAATAAAAGGAAATAAATAAATAATTCATACATCAGAAATTAACATCTCTAATATCCAAACGCCCAACAATCAATTTCATCTAAAACCAGTATCTTATCAGCTCCTTTCAACATTGTTGTACACAATATAAATTTCCCCTCAGCTTTGTGTCATTAATAATAAAAGAAAAATTTTCATACGAGCGCATAAATTATAAACTTTTCTTCAGCTCCACTTTATTTACCGATAGAGAAATCGGATCATTTATATATCTATCGAGAATTATATCGTGTACGATACTTTAAACATCCTAATTAATAAATCTAGACGAGGAGAAATTCAGTCTGTACATGGACATAATTATGTTCATTCGACAGTAAATAATAATAATTTTTTTCAAATTAGATTAAAACACCAATTCGGAAACCAAGTGAGCTCAAGTCTTGTGTTTCATCTTGTGTATACGATCATGACCTACAACATATATTGTTGTGTACATACAGTGTTCGCCTAACCCACTTATATTCATGCACAACGTGGACAATTCAATGCAATTGTATAAGCGTAACGGAAAATTGAAAGTACAATATACAACTTTGATATTACACTCTCCTAAAAGTGTATGTATACGTATTTTCACCATCAACACACAAAAGTTGATTGTTGTGGGCAATAAAAATTATTTCACGATGCGATTATTTTCAAATTCGCATAAAGCTGGGAAACGATGTAGAAAGTTATAGTTGTAGATGCAACTATGGCAAAAGTATTAATTTAACAAAAAGTAAACTTAAAATGCAATAAAAAGCAGACGTACTCTCTAAATCTGATTTAGTGAAAATCATCCTATAAGATGCTAACTGTTTTCAACGCTCAAATGTTTTTAATTTTTTATTACTTCTTTCTGAATTTTTAATTTTTAATCGAAATATTTTCAAAAACGATAACAAAATTGGTACTTTTTTCATAAACAAATCATTAAAATGGTTCCCACGGGTCTCAAATGTTGCGTGTCTTTAATTCCCCAAGATTCTATGAATCCCAATCAGTCGAGAACGTTTTCGCATGATCGAATTTGCGACTTACCTAATACGTCATACAGTTTTCTCACGTCGCAAAAAAATTCAAACATAGTAGAACTCATTTACATATTAACTAAATTCATTATTATTAATAAATAATTTTTTCAATTGACAGTTTTTCAATTAATTTTCAACTAATTTTTCAATTAATTTTTTCTATGAACAGTTTTTACAATTTGCTAAATTAGTGAAGTTTGTAGCTGTTTCAATTGAAAGTTTTTTTCTGTGTAATTTTCTCAACTAATAATTTAATCCGAAAATTTAAAAAATTCCGAATGCTTAAATTTGTCCCCCCCCCAAAAAATAATTATGAACCAAATAGTGCCAAAATTTAAACTCAAAATTGAAATTCACTACACAAAAAAAAATTAAAACATTGTCACGATTTCAAACCGTATTTAAAAATCTCTATAAATTGAAAAACAATATTTCTTTTTCTTTTTTGAAATTTATTCCAAGTAAATATTTGCAAAAATTTCCAGTGGCGATTTTTAACTGGCCATTGCGCCAAGAAACCGGATGGATGCGAGAGCGGGCCCATCAGAAGGAATGTGATTATAGTTGGTTCGTATGGCGGTGCGTTGGTAACCATGGAAGAAGGGCACTTTTTAGTGCCATGATTATGTCTCGTAATTCACGTAAAACACGGACCACAACGCATCCTTTTTGCAATAATGTTACAGTCCATAACCAAACACATCCTTTCATCAACAAGATGATTAAATTTCTTCCTCTCATTCCAATTTTTTCCCCCAAAAAATTATTCTATCCACAATTCTGAATATACAATTCATTTTCTCAATTATTTCAATTATTTCATTTTTTAATTAATAATTTTATATTTTCAAATATATTTTATTCGCAATTTTTTCTATTTTAAATGCTTAAATTTCTTTCCAATAAACTATCACCCATATAAGGGCCCATAAATTATTATTTTGTCAAATTAATTTAAATGTTAATTTCGAAAAATAATTGTAAAATTAATTTGGAAAATTAATTAAAAAATTAATTTGGAAAATTAATTAAAAAATTAACTGTAACATTAATTGAAAAATTAATTTTAAAATTGATTGTAACATTAATTGAACAATTAATTGTAACATTAATTGTAATATTAATTTAGAAAATTAATTGTAATATTAATTTAAAAATGTAATTGTAATATTAATTTAAAAATGTGATTGTAATTATTAATTTAAAAAATTAATTGCAATATTAATTTAGAAAATAAATTATAAAATTACTTTATAAAAATGATTGTTTTTTTATCGCAATGAGAATCGGATTAATATTATTATTTTTCAAGCGTGAAGTTATATTTCCTCTATTAGGAAGCAAAATTGTCAATTAGAAAAAAAATGTTAAATAAATAATTACAGAATTTTAAAAAAAACTGTTCTGAAAAACATTTATTTGATTCAAATAACCGAGTACTTGTCTATTATCAATTAAATATTTACTTGAATCAAAAAATTCTTTATTTACATCAATTAAAATGTATTTGAACCAGTAATT